CTGTGGGTTTTGATGTTTGATGGGGGGGGGGGGGGGGGGGGGAATCTTTTTCATCACAATTTTTACTGCAACTGTTCTGTTATTTGGAACTTTTCTTGTTATCGCAACTCTTAGTATTACAGAATTAACTCAGAAATTAAGCTTTCACATTAAAAAGAAGTATAACATCATGGTTGCAGAGAAAAACAAGAATAAAAAAACTTTAGTACAATAAGCCCAAATATATTATTTTAAAAAGACTTCTGATTTTTCTGACAGTCACTCCTTGAAGCCAGATTCTTGTATGTTTTGCAGCTGGCATTGGCTACCATGCATTTTCTTTTATAACCTAAGACGGCAGTCTTTGAGCTGTATATTTTTGTTGGGGCCACAGCTCATTTCGCGGGCTTGTTCATTGGTTGGGGTTTTTTCCACAAAAATTTAAGTTCCTTGAATCACAACCATTAGTGCAAACTCCGCAAGACTGGTCAAGAACTTCATGGAACCTGCTGGAATCCACAGACACTAAACTAAAGTTTACACTAAGACTAACCGTAGAAGGGTGTACTGAAGTTTACGTAAGTGGGCTTTTTTCACAGTCAAAGAACAAAGTGGAAACATAATTTTTAGCAGTTTTTAAATTCTGATGTCCTGACTTAACTTTTTCAAAAGGTTTAGGCTCCAGCTGTCCAGAGGTCCACCAAACTTGACAATGGCTGCACAGATGTGGTTTGTGACTTTGTCTGAGGCTTTCTTTGTACTTTAATACAAAAACTCTCAAAGGAAGTAATGGATTTCAACACAGATGCAAACTCATCTATCAAAACAGCTATAGTTTCAAGGCTAAAGCCCCACCAAAGGAAAAGACTTTGTCTAATGACTGATTATGTATTTATTTGGGTAACAGCAGAAAACGGGACACCTGGGAAGAACAATCAACAAAAGTTTTAAGTGATGGCTGGAACTTGATGTTTTACTTGATCCCTAACCAAAATTCAAGTAAAACGCATTATATAAAATGTGGGGAAAAAAACTCTTACAAGGTATCGACTGGACCCCAAATTTATAGTTGATCTACAACAGTCAGTGGACAAATGGATAACAAACAAGAAGTTAAATCTCTATTCTCTGATTAGCCCAAACCAGTAATTACCTATAATGTTGCATTAGTCACAGTGCATTACCCTGCATATCACATCAACTACTACTTTGTACAAAATGACTCTTAGAACTTGAGATGATGCATGACACAGCACACTCCACAGAGGGTATGGCAGATTGCCTCAATAAAACTGCCAAGAAATTACCATTAGGAACAACCTGTTTCTCACAGGCCCTAGAAATGGTCTCAGACCCTATCTTGTTGATGTAGTGTATCAGCTGTCCCCTTGTCTGATCCTTACCAGCTAGGGGTGAGAAGGTTCCATGTTTATAGGTTAGATGTTAGATGAGTGGAGATCACAGAGAGGAGCACCACTGGAAGGTTGAGGTGGTCATCCAGCTCCCCCTGTGTCTGGTCTGGAAGAATCCCAGACTGGAAAACCCCCAGAGTTAGGGGCTTTGGAAGAGAGTGCAGGAAAGCTCTGAGTGCTGAGTCCCAGAGGAGGAGAAGACCTTTTTATTTTCCTCTAGAAATGTATTAGGACTGTTACAAGAAATGGTTATCTGTCAGGTGTATTCCTAAAAGGAAGCTATGCGCAGAAAGTCTGAACACAAGGAATGATTGAAGATCCCTGGCATACTGGGGAAAAATAGCGTATGTCTTGAGCAGTGGTAAGGATGCCTTGTGGAGACTGATGTTTCCTGATCCCTGGAATACATTGACTATGTCTGCATTAGGAAGACGTGTGGTACAATAGGAGTGGACCTGGAGAGCAAAGTAGCTGGT